AAAAATACGTGATGCGTGCAAAACATGAAAAAATGGTGAAAACGTGAAAAAAATGTAGAAAAAGATGCAAAAAAAAAAAAACGGATAAAAATGAACTTTGATTAATAACTCGCAAACATGGAATGCAATCGCCTTTGTGACAAACGATCTCGCATTTATGCAAGCCACAGTTGAGGGTTTTGTCGCATACTTGTGTGCACTGAAAATAAACGCGTAAGCTCAATTTTTCATAGTAAAAAACAAACTGAACGAGATGAAACGAAGCTAGGATCGCCAAAAGGCTGAAATTATTTATTGCCTGAAATTATTTATTGCTAAAAATGAAAAAAAAAAAAAAAAAAAACTGAAAGGAGCTTAGTATCAGTGAAAAAATATCGATCTGCTACCTACAGAAATGCCTGCCAGCGGGTTCTACAAGCAGTAGCTTTACCAATATTTCAACATTTCTTTTTCTAACATTTAAAATGATAAATTTATTTCCCAAACTTTTCTCAGCAAAGACGAGACCATTTTTTTTAAAACACGAAAACTTTTTCGGAAAAGAAGAAAAAACTGAAAATTTCACCTTGAACTCCATTTCTTTGCCGCAACGAATCGCAAATTTCTCTCGACCACAATTACACTGACGTGTGGTCATCACCGGGCATTCAGGACATGGTCCAGGATGGCACTGTTCAGTGCATGGATGAGTACATCCGGGACCACGACTCTTTCCACAAGTACTATTGCAAGAGTGTGGCATATCGGGAAATCTAAATAGAAACGCTATTTTTTAAAAAATCTGTTTCTTCAATTTACTCTATTCAAGAGAGGATGCGCTCAAAACTCCTCCATTTTCTCCTAGAAAAAAAAAGGAAAAATAAAGGAATCGCAGTTTTCTATGAATGCCGGGATCACCACAAGGTGCTGTAACGAAGACCACAGCAATTGTCCAAACTGCTAAAAGAACATATGGGAAGGCTATCAGTGCGCGGGAAAGAGTCATTTGAACGGCTTTATGGAGGAAAGCTCAAAACAGAAAAGAATGGAGAAGTTATCAGCTGCATCAGCGGAGAACAGGAGCGCAGTGGAACAGTGGATGAACAAAGAATAACAATATCGTCGGTAATAAGCTACCAAAATACAGAAAAACACAATGTTATCAGTAAAACTAGCTGTAATAGAAAATAAATTCGTTCCTCTGCTCAGTCCAGGAGAAGTTACATCAAGTAAACTGAGGATGTTTCTTCAGATTGGCTGATCACAAAAAAACCGAGTAAGCTAGACACAGAGTACTAACTGTGTGAAATAAAGAAATAAAGAATGTGTAAAATAAATAAAGTCTAAAAACAATCAGAAGAAAAAAAAAAGAAAATACCTCTGGGTTGGTGGATTCACTGTTTTGCCACAGAAGCATTTGTAGCCTCGCGGGATTTCAAGCGTGATATTCTGGCAATTCGGGCATCGCCAACCAACATGATCCTCGAAACTTTTGGCCGCCCACTGTGTGATGCAACCATATGTATTGCCACGATTGATGTGGAACATGTGAAAGCACTGCTGGCACGTCCAGATCCACTGTAACAAA